CTAAATACGAGGTAAAATAGTTGGATAAAAAACAATGAGATATTATTACATGGACATTTTTCTTGACATATTTAGAGTCGCGTGTGACCTCACGCGAGGTTGTCGATAAAAATTACGGGTATCGAGCTATATTTCACCTGTATTGAGATGAAATTGCGCGGAGTTAATGTATAAAGGAATGGCAATTTTTACCATATAATATTTCATATTTCACTGTGATTTATTATTTGATAGCAGTTCATTATTATTTTGTTTAAATATTTATATGATGAAACATCTATGACTTATTACCCTTTCGGAGATACCTATTGTATTTTTATTTTGTAAGCGAGATGAATTGCGTCAGGCGAAAACCTTTTGTTAGATATTTTTAATATATTCGACTTTATTATATATGTGCTTGTACTGGATATGTAGTTATTATATAATGTGATACATTTTTTCTGCCGTTTTGTATCAGTCGACGTTATAATATAGTGAATTACTTATATATAATAAATATAATTTATTCACAGAATAATTTTTTGTTTTATATTTTCCTTAATTTTACAATCTAACATCATACTAAGAAATCTCAAGTTTACAAATAAATACCGAATAAATCTTTTGTTCCCCATAGTCAGCCTTAATTTACTACCTGTCAAAACTTCCATTTTTCATTATTTTTTTTTGCATGAAAACAAAAAGCGAAATTCTATTCTACCGCACCGATCCGTAAAGAAAAGCGTAGAGGGAACTAAGCAGTTTCAGTACTAGTGCTGCTGTAGATCGATTATCGACAAAATTCTTTTTATCGCCAACTATTTTATCGAGTATGATTTGTTCGTCTGCAGGTAAGACACTGGATTTTCGGAGCATTCTCGTGATTTATTATTACTTGTGTAATAAACGTTTCGGGAGATACATTCCGATTTCAGAAAATTGAAAAGTATTCTATTTCATAGAATGTCACGATATTGTTTCTTAGAAAATATGGAAGATTATTTCAGTTGAATTTAGTTAGAATAAATTTACTGTTAGACTAAATATAGGCAATTATTTAGTATAGTAAGTGATAATTTCATAAAATCAGAATATAGCTGAAATGAACGCTTCGTGAGTAATTTTCCACTTTTTTTTTATAATCTGTTCAATTTATTACATGTTTTTTTTTTATATATTTTATGCTGCTGTTAACTCAATGTCTAATAATTACAAAAAACTTTTTTAAGGTGGACACGATATTCGTAAATGAAAATACGACTTTGATGATGAATGTATGTACTCAAAAAAAGTTATTAATAATAATAAGTTGTTGCTTAATCAGTCGTCTCTATCTGTAATTCACATATGTATATTAATTTACTTAAATTATATAACATGAATACCTTCTTGATCAAAGTATTTGTTACGCAAGAGAGAACGGTTTCAGTATTAATGTCTTTATTGAGATTATTCAGCTAAAACTGAAGCTCAAATATCAGAACTTACTTTATGAAACAATTTACTTATATGTCACTGATGAAATGTCGACGTTGTCGGTTGCTGAGAAACTAATATTGACTAACTAATCATCTGTAAAGTGATTTGATAACTGTATAAGACATTATAATATATCTATTTTTGCGAAACGGGTTAAAAAATAGTCGTGTTAAATAGAAAATATCTACTGAATAGCAGGCTAAAATTAGTTGTTTCAATTAACAAGTTTATATTTAGTTTAATACCAAGTAAAATTAAATAAGGGTGTTTTAGTTAAATATTGGTCACTATGCTGTTTGTATTAATAATATTAAATTTACTACAAAAAACATATTTGATATTAAAGGGTAAACAATATAGAGTTTTGCATAAATCGAAAAGGTCAACTCCTTGGGGAGTAAAAAATCATGTAAACTACGTGGACGAGGCTGTGGAAGAAAAGTCAGTACCAAGAAGATTGTAAATAATTTTGTCTAAACCAACTTTAGAAATTATATTTTTTAGGAATATCGTTTAACTAAAATAAAGGTCCCAGATATGAAGTGTAGATTAATAGTGGCGTTTGTGGCACTCATTTAATATACCACTGAATTTACTAATTTACTTGCACTTACAGTTAATTCAGAACGTTATGTTAAGATGTTAGATGATTCTTTGTTGCATACACTGCAGAATTTTCTAGGCTTCAATTATTTAATCTAATTCCAGTGGAATGGAGTGACGTTACACACGTCTACTGTATGCCTCGAGTTCATGAGATATTAGAGCTGATATTGGAAGTGGTAAAGACGTCATCAGAAATTTTGGCGATAGATTAAATAGGTACAGCGAACGCGATGGTAAACATTTTAAAAAATCTTAAAGAGTGTATTTTAGAAATAAATAAACATTTTTCATCATTTTTTATGTTTTTTTTTTTTTAAATAAACTTGTTTTTGAGCACTTGCTATTAAATTCTCTCAAATATTTATATTCAAGTAATAAATCAAAAAGATTTTATCGATATACATAAATTTGCGTCAAAAATGTCACAACACTATCCCGTGAGTGCAGTTGGTGAGCCCCATAAATCAGCTTCCGTCGCCCGTAGGCACGTCTTAATACAATTTTCTAAGTGACGTGTACAAACAAACAACAGTCTATCGATGACTCGCAATATTGGGGTAGACTATTCAATTTATGAAATACGTAAACATGATTAAAAGGTATTGTGATTTTGTTATTTATGAGTTAGTAAAGGTAACTAGACTGTTTTCATATTGATTAGGACTACCAATTGTTATAGCTGTATAGTATTCACTATACAGCTATAACGAATTTCGCCTAATTTGCTATTTAGATTTGGATAGGAGAGTGCCTGACTGCGAGCGTCAGTTATTCTAGGTTTCATGTTAGACTGTATTGTGTATTATTGTATATAGGTACCTTATATCTGTATTTAAGTTTATACTATGTTTGTTGCATGTTAAATGAGAATGAATTAGCTTATCTTAAATTCATAATTTTGCGTTCTATGATGAGAAAACATACTTTCGTTGTATTCTTTGCCTTTTTATATTATCATGTAAATACGTTTTGCAAACTTTTCAAATTTTAAACTTTAAAGATCTGCGTTAAATTATTTTAGAAATATTACTTTGAATTAAGACTACATTTTTTTATTATTTATTTAACAAATTTTAGGAATCTTTTATATGAAGAACATCTTGATTCAATTCCCACTCAATGAGTTTTTAAGTAAAATTTTATCCTTTCCTTTCAAGGACACAGTACAAAAGATATGTTAAAGTATTTTATATATTATCTTTTGTATGTTCCTTTTACAGTGCAGAGCAGGGTTTTTAAATTTTTGACTCCACCAACCCCCCGTAAAAGATACTACATAACAGCGAATCCCTTAAATGACTAATCAAAGAAAATAATAAAGTTGGTAAAATAATAAGGTAAGTATTTATATAAAAGGTCGGCACATACAGTAATATTGTTTTGTGTAGAGTAATTTTAAAAATTATAATATTTTCAAATCGTTAATATCGTCGTCGAGCCACCATTAAGTAGGTCTTGACGCGAACCTCCTAATGTCGAACCCCTAGGAGTTCGTGCACACCACTTTGAGAAACTATGAATTAGAGTATTCAATGCTTTTAACTGCATCATAGACGCTTCCAAGAGTCCTGTCAAATTATAGGCATATTTGTTAAATACCATATTGATAGATGTATTAATGGAATTTCGATGATTAAAATTACTCAGAACAGTTACTCAATATCACTCAGGTTCAAACTTTTGTTTAGAGAAATATTTGTACGTTGTTATATTTTCAGCAAATGGATTGAAAGTTTTAAACAAATGGTTACTAGATCTATATTTTATAATCACTAGTAGATATTTTGTATCTAATAAAAAAAAAAAAACAAACTTTACGTAATCAGTTAGCAGTAAATCAAAGTATTAGTCCTAGTACGAAATTATTTAGGTGAGGTATGAAACCCACAATGTAACTAAATAATCTTTGCTATGTTTTCTACAGATAAATAAACAACAAACTAGTCGATAAATTTTAACGATATTTTTTCCACCGACACTGGCACGTCACTAGTCATTGGGCTACATAAATCATGGAGACATACGCCCTATCTGTTGCCAGCTTAATACGATCCCGAGTCGCGGGGGTGAAGGGGAATACACTTTTTTACAATCTGCACATAAGCAAAAAGTCAGCGATATTATTTTGTATATAAAGAGTTTGTATACAAACTATTTTTTTCATGAAACCTTCCGATAATTATTTGAATATATACATATATATACATATTGAGTTTCAGAAAAAATTAAGATTTAATTCAATTTAGTTACGTTTTAAATAGCTGTAGCTTCACCAATTTTAACTACTATTAAATGAAGTTATTATATAAATAAGAAAGCGTAATCCATTATCTGAATGCATAGTGTAGAAAATATTTCGGGGGGCAATTTCTCTATTGATTACTAATTGAAATAAAAAGTAATTACGCATTTATATAAATAAATACGATATTGTATCGATATTCTTTGCTGCAGCTAACACGAATCCATGGCGCATTATTTAAACTTAAAATAATATTGTTTCAATTTTTACTATAACCTCCACGAAATAATAAAGTTTTAATTATTATGAAAAGAATTTATTTTTCCGCTAAACTATGCCACGCATTTTCGGGGACACATTTTTACTTTCGGGCCACAAAATCAAGTAAAAATCACTGATGTAGCTAGTTTCTAATGGAAACGACATAAAAATAAGCTTACTTTAAGATGGTCATAGTGTGAATTAACAGGTAAGATTAGAATAATACTGCACTAACATATGACTGTAGATCCCCGAATGGTTTCTGTATAAGAAATATTGGACTAATCAAAAGCTATATGGTTTACAACGGTCGAGAAGATGCGAAGCGCCAGCGATCTCTGCGCGCTCTTCTCATTGGTCAATAAAACAGTGACCGAGAATTAAAAGAAAGACCTGGCATTGAAATTCAGGAATAGAAAACGCCACTAACCTGTAAGCCATTCGAATTTGCTCCCCGTTTTTGTACCAGATGAGCTGAGCTGGTGGGTTACCGCCGCGGCTTCTGCAGACCAGCTCGAGACTTTGTCCTCGGCGTACTGTCTCACCTTCAGCGTAACCCTCGATGTATGGCGCTCCGGGGGGATCTGCAAAAATGATACAAATTAGCATTGATCATCTGAAATAGAAAAATAACCAAAGTCGTATGCCGCTTTTTTCTAGAGATTATGAATGTTGTTTTGCGGATCATACGACATCTAGCTCATCATGTCATAATTATAAACCTCATTTTTATGAGGGCAGGTATAATATATTTGTGTACATTCAATTTTGTTTTTGATATTGGACACCAAATTTATTGGGTGCCTAAATGCCATGCCTGTGTGTATTAAATAATCAGATTTAATAATTAAATGTTAAAGTATCGATTAGTTTAAAACTAATTTAACCAAACTACGATTTATAAGATTAACCAACATGTGACCTTTGACTTGACGACAGTGAAATAACCTCAAATTAAAATTATAATTATAAGATCTAAATTATTTTCCTTTTCTCGATTAAGTATTTCGAGTAGCTCGAGAACGTTCACTGGCCAAAAGTAATAATGTCTGATGTGGCGTAATTGACTACGACATCTGAACAGTGAAGTGTTTGATCATATAATTTAAAGGAAAATTTCTAATTATATTAATATGTATTTAGTTACAAGAATCATGTTATTGTATTTTAATTAAATTATTTATGTACTTTACTGATATTAAAAACGAAATAATATCAAATTAATTCAGAAAAAAAAAACAAAGTTAATATTAACTTTAATTGTAAACAAGGTACTTTTAATATTGAAAAAGTTATATGATATTTAAGATTGTTCTCTTAAATCTAACAAGAAGCATAAGAAGAAGAAGCATATTATATATGAAAACATGTTTTCTCGCCATGTAAGACACCATCTACTGCCTACTTAAGTAATAGACCAGTCTAACCTGCGATTGCCTGGAAGAAATTGCTTTTTAGCGATAAGGTCGATTGTACCACTAAATTGTATCGATTATCCTTTTATTTAATCATGGTGTACAATAAAAGTATTAATTCATTCATTCATTCAAAAAAATCACGTTTGTTTTATGGGATCACGTTTAAATATTTATTTTATTCTGGTTTTTTTGTATAGTATTTGCTGAAGTGGCAACAAAAATACATCATCTGGGAAAATTTCAACTATCTAACTTTCGGTTCATGAGGTACAGCCCAGTGACAGACAGACAGACCACATATTTTAGACGTACGGAACTCTTAAAATATGTGGTCTGTCTGTCTGTCACTGGGCTGTACCTCATGAACCGAAAGTTAGATAGTTGAAATTTTCCCAGATGATGTATTTTTGTCAAACCTCTATTTGAGATTTCAATTAACCAGTATTTCTATATGAATATCTTACTGGTTGCCCGATAAATCAAGACAAATAAAGTAAACAACGTTGGTCTATTCAGATTTAAAAATGGTCATTCAACAGTCGATTCGAAAAGTCACATCGCTATTCTAAGGTCGTTCACCTCGGAAAATATGTTTAAAAGCAATCATCCTGTACACTCACTTGGAAAAAGCGCCACGAGTCTTCTTCGGGAGAGAGCTTTAGAAATTTCCTTTGAGAAAAAATGACGGGTCTCTTACCCCCCCGGCTTCAGGCCCCGCGCCCTCTCCTAAATAAATTGGTAGGGTGATTTAAAAAAAATTAACCGCTCTTTTCTAACATCAAGAGTTTTTGTATTCATTCGACTCCTGGGAAGCAACGATAAGATAAAAGGTAGGTAACATTGTGACTTTAAAAATAAGTCAAATTAGTGGTTTTCCTGTGACTTTAGCCGCTTAAATTATAGCCTATGTTACCTGAGTATGATATAGCTTCCCATGAAAAAAATAAGAGATCAAGACAATTTTTTAAAGCTGCCGAGATCGGCAGCTTTAAAAAATACGGACGAGGTCAAGAAAAGTTTTCCGGTATTTACGAAAGTTTCCTTCATCGGGCATTAAAATTTTAACGTAACTTACAGATTTATCAGAGTAGGATGGGTTTACAAAAGAGTATTTTAATCACGAAATATTGCGTTTCTTCTCAATTAAAATGTTGTCTCATCACTTTGAAAGCAGTCTTTTGTGAGACGTCGCCTCGCTAATTATTATTAATATTTCACGGTTAAGAAACGAGATTCGGAGATAATTAATATTAAGTTGAAATATGCAAAGTGTCATTGCGAATGCTATGTCTCCAGTATTAAGTGGAGTCACGCGCTTATTTAATGGTTTATATTTATTGACAACTTGCTTTATTATGGCCTACGTTATATGTTATAAAAAATCAAGGTGTTCCTGTGATGACGTCCATGTGAATCACAGCCTATGTCACCTGGGTGATATAGCTTGTAAAAGAATTTCTAAAATCGATCTGGTGGTTTTGGTTTCCTCTTAACAATGTAAGTTTAGATCAGGTGATAGTAGTAGTAGTAGTAGGCTAGGTAAACGTTGCGTATTATTATTATATTAAATATATTTTTTTCCTAATTTATGCGTCCTATAAAGCTTTGTAGCAAGTTTTAAGTTAACGTAAGTAGTATTTACATGTATTGATTTTTTTAAATTGTTGTTTTTCCATTTACATATTTATGTATATTAATAAAATTACAAAATCTATACTACACTTCAATTTTCCTATAACAAGTTGTCAGGAGTTTTTTTCCAATCATCCTGTAACTATCAAATAAAAAACACAACCAACGTCAAACGCGATCAGTAGTGAAATACAATTTGAAAAAAAAATAAACCTGCCTCTAAAAAATACATCAAATTACCTTAAAAAACAAATTTAGAAACGAAAATATTGTTACCGTCGAGTGCGTACTTGCGTTCTTTAGCTGGCGGCTAATTTTTCTTAGTCCTTCATCTCTTTTGTTTTAATAAAAGCAGGTAACTGCTTTGATAAATTATTATTTTTCATTAGCTGTGCCCGGTAGTTTTGTCTGTTATTTTATCGTTAATTAACATATAAACTTTAATTACCTATAAAAATTAATAAATAAAGCATTTATAATGCTATATTGATAAATTATATTACAGAAAACAATAGCCTAGATTGTAAATGGTTAAGCGTTCATTTTACATGTTGTCTGCGTTTTTTCTGTGAGGTAGAAATCCATTATTTCTTAATTTTTAAATTTGCTAAATTGACACATATAAATATGATATTAATATATCAATGACTTCATTGGGATCGAGTAAGAAGGAAAGAACGTCAAAGTACCCTGTCTATCTCTCACTACTGACGCATGCGCAAGGATAAACGAATGGGTCGATCCGTTCCACATGTACGAGTAAACAAACAGTACGCATTATTGGCAATAGTGAAGTCACCAAGAACCTATAAAGCCTGCAACTGTGCCGTCTCTACCATGGTAAATGCTCTGAAGAACTCTTTTCCCTTATCCCCCCATCTCCCTTCCTCCTCAGGACCACACGTGCTGGTTTGCGTTGCCACCAACTAACTGTGGCAACGATTCCTTCGCGTACGAAGAAATTTGGCGACTCATTTCTTTGTCGTACTTCCAAAAAATGGAATTGTCTCCCGGCCCATGTATTCCCTCCTTCCTATGACATAGGGTCCTTCAAGCGGGGCGTGAAGAAGCACCTTGCAGGTCGGCAAGGTGATGTTGGCTAGTGCAGTACCTACGTACTGTTTTCACTAGCTGTCCTCGTGTTTGGACTACGCCTCCGCTTACCATCAGGTGGAGCACAGTCATTTGCCCTCCATTTTGTATAAAAAAAGACATTGGTACCGCGATCATCGCTCTCTGTCTAACCTAGAGAGATATGAATTTGCCGCTACTGTATTTATAATAACTATGATAATATTGATACGGTTTAGTGCAGGACTATTTTTCATTATTGAGAACGGGTTTTTATATGACTTCTTATCAGTGTCCCTGGAGATTCGCGTCAGGGAGAATAGGAAAAAAGTTCGTAAGCCGGAGACGTTGACACTTTGACAGCGCGTCTCCCGTAGTGAAGTGCTAGATAAATATCGAATCGATAGAATCATCAACGAATAAATAATTACTTTAACAATAAGGTGCAACCCCCACCAAATTCAAGAATAGCCGAATCAATCTTATAAATAATATTGTATAAGGGTTAAATTTTAGTCATCATTACGTTCGATTGTCATCGGAATAAATATCAATTCTGTACAAAAGAAGATTCACCGCGCGCCATATTGAAAATTATTGTACTTGTGTTTTAGTACATTAAAGTTTGAGAATTGTTTCTATTCGGTTATTATTTAAAATAAATTGTTCCACTATTGATTAAAGGAACCAATAAATTATAGAAGTAATGTTGATAACTGGAGTTTGTTATATTGTGTTCAATGGCAATAAATTAAGCGATAAAATATTAATAGATTTTATAACGATTTTTAAAAATTTTGATATTTATGGATTTTACATTTTGTATTAGTGACGCTTATATGAATTCACAAGAATCTAAATCTATCTTAGAAATAAAGACCTTCCTTTTAAATCGCCATATCTATTAAAAAAGTTTTATACTATGTAATGATAATAAAATCGAAAAGTATCGATAAGTGAGCGTTTCTTACATCACTGATTTTTGTAAACGGAGCATACGGGTAAAAAAACAATACATTATTAATAATAAAACGGAATGAAATTTCACCCCTATGAAAATTAATTTCTTGTAAGACATCTCTATAAACAGTTTAAACATTTAAGATATGACGTCATTTAGAAATTATGAGCATGGGCCATTTAACCCAAAGTTTCAAATAAATACCCACAAGGAATCTATAGATAATAATAATAGTTTATCCATAAATTACATTGTTCCTAATTTGGTTAGTATTACAGGAAATGTTAGCGTTTAATATAGCTTATATTTAATTTTTTACATAAATAGTTTATTTAATATTTTTAGTTTAAGTCTGAACTAGGTTGACTTATGTATCGGACAAGTGGAGTAAACATAGTTAAGTTATATAATCACTACTTGGTCAGTAAACATTATATATCAAATATTAAAAATAAAACATTGAAATAAATAATTATGAAAATTATAAGCTTATTATATGACA